AGTCATCGTCGCTCTGATTCACCATCACCGCTAGGACACACGTAAGCATAGAAAAATAGTCCTACGAAAGAGGAGAACGCTCAAGACGAACGATCACCCCCGCCTGAGACAAACCAAAAGCCAAAACAACAAACGCCCCAACTTTCACGGAACATGTCTTCCTCCCGCTCCGCGCCCCGCGAACGGCGTGTCTCTCCCTCACTCTCCGCAGCCCCCACTTGCCTGAGTTAACCGCCACTCGCGGTTCCCCTTGCCGACACGTATTCGGAACGCCGCCGCAAAATCCGTGCCCTGTCCTCCGTCGGAGAAGAAGAACCCCCCCCGCCCTCGTTCGAGCCCCCCCCGGTCTTCGGCGTCTGCGCTGCTGCTGCCACCGCCGCCGCCGCCGCCGCCGCCGCCGCCGTCTCGCCCGCGGTCGCCGCCATCGTGGAGGTCGTTCGTGTCACCTTCTTCCCGAACCCGTCCACTGCTACCACCATCGCCGCCGTTGACTCCTGTTCCTAGGACGGCGTTCCTGCCGACGCCATTGCTGCAACTTCCAGTCCCGCCGCCGCCTTTGTCGTCGTTATTGCTTCCTCCCCGGGCGTGTTCGTACGTGACCAACGCGTGGTTTAGCGGGGCCAGCATGCTATCCGAAGGGATCGAGAGAGTGTTGTCCGCCGACTGCCCGATGCTGGCGCCGGCCGTGGAGATCTTTCATGGTGGAAGCACGGCGAGAGCGAGAGAAGCGGGCGACAGTGAGAGAAAAGAGATAGGTAGTGTAAGCAGAGGAGAGAGCTATGGGCGAATGCGTGGCGGCTAGGAGAAGAAGGGAAACAGATTTAAGACGTGTGGAAATGTGCACACAAACAGAGGGAAAGAGAGAGCGAGGGAGCGCGCGAGAAAGAAAAGTAGCCCTTGAGCGTTACTCCCCTCCCTCCCCGAAAAAAAAAGAAAGGGGTACTTCCAACAATTGCTGATGGAAGAGCACGTCGCACTACATACGAGGCACACGTTGTGACACGTTTGTCCTGCGGCAGGAGAATCAAATCCGCTGCAACAAACCCATCTTTGCACCCCACAGCAGCAACAACAGCCAGCGGCCGAAAGCCGACGAGGGATCGAGCACGTCCGCACAGTACCTCGCACGAGGGCTGCACGTCCGATTCCGACGCGGTCGTAAACTTGAGCACCAGCTTCGTCAAGTGTCCCGGTCCACCCACCGCCCCGAAATCTTCCTCCGAGCTCGATCGCCCAGCGCGAGTAACAGCGGTAGCGGCGGTGGCAAAGGTAGCTGCAGCGTGAGGGGCACCCGAGGTGCTGGCAGCAGCAGCAGCAGCAGCAGCAGCAGCAGCAGCAGCGCCAGCATCACTACCACCAGCACCAGCTGCCACACCCTTGTCTCCTTTTCTCGAAACAGGGCTCCGATCTAGCCACCCGAGCTTGGTTGGAACGTCACCCGTCTTNGGGGGGGGGGGGGGGGGGGGGGGGGGGGGGGGGGGGGAGAGTGACCCAGATTAACTATGCGTTACCCCCGTGTCGCTAGTAAGAAGCGTCTCATCGATATTTCGAAGTAACAACATCGGCCACGGACGGTCGGTTGGCGGTGATTCATGGTGTCAGCGCCACAGATGCGGTTCTGTACTTGGTACCAACAACTAACATGGCTACAAGATACGCCGTCCGCGTGCATACACATGCACAAGATACCATGCGAAGATCCCAGGAGGACCTTGGCGGAGTCGTTATTCAGAACGAGACAGACAAACACGCACACACGGCCGGCCACGTTTCGGCGTGTGAAGCAAAAGTAACATCGCTGTGGACTCGTGGCAAGGAGAGTCACAAACCTAAGTTGTGTCTCATGCCTCCATACCCCACACAGCACAAAATTCTAGCGCGTCAGCTATCTGCTGCTGTAGATGTGTACAAAGGACTGCTGCTGTGGTTTTATCTCGAACGGGTAATTTAGTCTCTCTGAGAGATTCTGTCTACTTTCTAAAACAGGCAGAGACACACGCGCGGCAGGAGTATGCATAGTACTTTCCGTTTGCACGCGATCTTACCTTTTCCTGCCTCGACTTGAAGCCGGACATCAAGGACAAGCCGCGGCTTGCTCGACCGGTCAGTGCCTGCTTATCAAACATAGCCAGACACCAGCAACAGTTGAGGTGCATGACATCACCCCCCTCCCCCCAGATGCGCGCTTGACAGAGAACATGCAACCTGGCTCACACAGCAGCTTATACATAGACGAAACCAATGTCTTGGAATCCCGCAACGTGACTTCCAGATACAATGACTCGACACAAGTTTCGGTACGTTGTTCAAGGGGAGGTAAACTTCAACCCCTCCCAAGAAAAGGCGGCGCTACATCGTATTAAGGACCGTTTTAAACGGACCGACTTTTTTGTCAAAATTTTCGACAGTTGTCTTTCAAAAACTTGGAACCTGTGTGCAGTCATTTTAAACGTGTGACGTAGACTTGTGCAACTTGTGTCAAAAAAAATGACGCCGTCCGTGAGTTGTAGCGCTCACTTCGAGACAACACAGACGACACAACACAAACCGCGGAAAACACGACATCATGGACACCGACATGGATATCACGACCACCCAGCGTGGCCGGCAGACCAAAACCCCGGCGAAATTCCAGCAGACGGGCTCTCTCGGTGCCGCCGTAGGCGGTGGAGGCTTGCTCTCCAGCAAGATAGTGCTGCTGCCTGGCATCTCGGGGAACACTCATGTTACCACGGGAGGCGCTGCCGCCACCAACACTCCGCCGGCGAGGGGTGGCAACCACTGCTCCTACCCCCCCGGGAAAAGGAAAAAACAAAGCGGCGGACGCGAAGCAACAACTGCAAGCCATCATGGCGGACCGCCGGTTTTTTTTTTTGTATTGCGCGTGCCCGTGGGCGAGGAGAGCCGCTCGAATCTGTAGGCGCGCCGCGCTTTCTACGGTCGGCCATGACCCACACACAACCCTAGCTGACTTTCTACGGTGAGGGGCACTCGTGGTGCAGACGCAGCAGCCCTCGCGTGCCTCTGCAAGGGTACTTTGGAAAGTGCTCCAAATACTTTGAGAGGGTTGTCAAAAAGTTGGAACGAAGTGGAGCAAAGTTTTCGCGCCCAACTTCGTTCCAAATATTTTGAAAAAATATGGACAAACGCCTACATACAGGTTCCATTTTTTTGACACTTTCAAACATTTTGACAAAAAGTCGGTCAGTTTAAAACGGCCCTAACAGTTTGATACCGGTACAACGTGCTGGTAGGTTTCGGCCAACAACGATGGGCACGATGACACCCAAAGTACTGGCGAATGGCCAACCAAGAGCACAAGCCAAAGCATCCACGCCCCCCGGTCCTCGAAGACAACAGCAGCGGGGCCGCCCGTGCGCTATGTACGGGCTCTAGCGAGCTGGTACTCTGATTCATTTCGCCCAGATGTGGGATGTGGGTAACCTGCTTATGATCACAAATGATCCTCTTGTCTGAGCATTTCATGAAAAATTGCGCCGAAAAAAACGGGCAGTCAGGAACCCACACAAAACAAGCAGCTCCCCGTGGGAGAGGACAGTCTACGTACCTGTCTTGCAGACTTCCGGCGGATGACAGAAGCAGCAGCAGCCGGCTCGACGACGGAATCTCCTGCTTCAACCACATTGGTTCCCGCTGGACGGGGTGGGGCCGCGGGCACAGCCAATACACACACGGCGAAATGGAGCGGAAAGTTGTTACCGTACATCATCGGCGAGGCATCATCAGCAGTCGTCATCCACAGAGCAGAGTGTTGTTAACGAGAGAGACAGAGAGAGAAAGAGACACACAGAGAGAGAGCCAACCAGTTCTTTCAAGCGGTGGTTGCCCAGTCTGCCTCCCTGAACAAGAATAGTACATTCGCCATAACCCCGCGATGCAGCAAAGTATGTAGCAGACACGTTCCGTCTGCCGCCGTTCCAAGAACCGGGCAAGGAGCGGTGGGGGTACGTGAGACTATGGAACCTCGTACAACAGTCTTGTCTATATCCACTGTACCTGGCTTTTGAGAAGCGATCATATGCTGGACTGGCCCCCCCACACGATATGGCCACTGCGTGCGTGTCTATGTATGTTCTCTATCCTTCATAAGTTGTCTGTAGAAGCTGGTGCTCTTCCGGGGCGCCACACGGATGGACGGATGATATGCACCCCCCAACCAGCAGGGCGCGAATATTTGCAATCCATGGATAATAAAAAGAGAACCACAGTCCAAACATCCAGACGGGTCGAACTCCCGGGAAACCACCCAGAGCGTCCCCGAAGAGGTTCTCCTCCCTCTAATAAAAAGCAGGCGCATAAAGCAGCTACAATCACACAATCACGGCGGCGGAGAGCGGTCTAAAGGCGGCGACACGAACCCGTTCGCTGGGGGAAGACGAGGAGACGACACACAACGATAACTGGTGAGATCCCGTCCCGACAGCCGTCCGTGCATCCTCTGTGTCTGTGCCTCACCCTCACTTTTTTTTCTTATGATGTTTTTTCCAGAAATAAAATAAAATAGGAACGGCCGCGCCCGGGCCAGGGCCATGTGTGTGTTAGTCTGTCTCTTTTTGTTGCAGCCTCCCTCATGCTGTACCACGCTGTCGATGCTGCTCTGTACCTGTTGTTGCTGTCGTACGTACGTTGGTGATCATGTGCGTGCACTGGTGTGGTCAGGCCAGGCCAGGCCCTGCCTGTTGTCCTTGCCGTGTAGTCCGGAGTCTTTTCTTCTGGCTGCTCGGCTGTATGGTGGTGCTACAATACTGGGCTGGTAGAGGTGCTGGCATGTGCACGCACTTGCCCAACCCCTTAACCCCTTTACGACGCACAGGAAAATCGCAGCTCAGAAAATATCACAAAAAGATACAAAAATAAAAGAAGAAAAGAACACGCCTGCTGGTTGGACGACGATGGACGGTCCCTGACCTGCACACATGGAGCAACCAGCGCCCGAAGCGTCCCCACCTGAGCCGTCTCTAGTCTAAAAGCCCTATCAAATGGCCCCTGAAATCCGATCTAAGCGAGGGGCCATGTTGATCGGGCTTATAGAATACAATTGGAAAGAGCGCCATAAACGGAGCACAAAAAGAGGCTTTCAAGATATTGCCGTCGAGAGAAAACGAGACCCTAGCGTTCAAGCTCCAGGATGCCCGGGTGCCCCTTTCATCGGTGGGTGGAGTGCTTCTTCGAGTTAGGCCCTGGTAGCGCTTTTCGCCGAAGCACAATATGACGCGGCGCAACTTCGCTGTTGAACCTGAGCGGCAGCAGCAGCAGGGCCAACCTGTCAGCGCTTCGCCACAGCAGTTTCCCCGTCTACTACCCGCGCCCGCGCCACCCTAGGCGATGGCGGTCAGCGCATACCCCGATACTCCCCTCGTGGAAGACTTCAAAGGAGGGGACACGCTGGCAGTTTTGCGCCAGATGAAGGAGGTGCACTACAGCCATCCTGAGCGCGTACGAGAATTTGTGTTCGATGCCGCCTTGGCGGTAGGAGCGGGCTCATGCGTGCACGACGATCCCCCAAAGGCTCTACCAAGAGGGTTGACGCGCGATCAGGGCGTCGCAGCTGCGAAGGAGCACCCTGGGCTCTGTGGATTCTATCTGGCTGGGGTTAGTTACGACGATGTGGTCGCTACTGCGGAGAGGCGTGGCGTGAGCGTCACCTTCAACGTTTTTCGCAACCAGGTACGTGCTGTAGTACTGCTGTAGGACATGAGTACAGCAGGTCTACTGCCCCGTTCTGCTTGTAGGCTTTAGGTTTAGGTTGTCTAATGTAGACATGCCCTCGGTATCCGTAGCAGGCGTGCCCGTTTCTGGCGAGGCTGATGACCCAACCGTGGAAGCGTGTACCATTCGTTTATTGAAGCCCCACAGCAGTGGGACGGGGTGGCGCTCGTCACACCCAACACTACTGCTGTATCTTATCCACTTCTACGTATCTCGTTTCCTCGACATTCAACTGACTACACTGACTGCTGTACGCCCTCACGTCGATTTACGGCTGTTGCATGTTTGTAGAATAATCAGTTCGGGCCCAGGATGCAGCTTGGTCGACATCATAATTTGACACGACGTAGCTTGGTAAATCATGTTTTGCACCCGATCACACGAACAATCTTTCTGCTCTTCTCGTCGAAGAGCAGCGGCTGCTCGTTTTGTTTTCTTGGAGGGGCCATCCTGCCCTGTTCTTGCGATATGATAGTTTGGACCACGTGTGCTGACATGTGGATGGAGAGGGTACGGTGCAAACTGACTTCTCTCACGTCCCTGTTTCTCCTTCCTCGCACGCACTCATGCCCACACAGTGTTGCTTCGACGCCGCCAAAAAGCTTCGTGCGGATGGCATGGGCGTCCAACTCGCTCGGAAGGAGTGTTTCACTCAAGCGTTCAGAGCTGTTTTTCCCGGGAATGGCACGCCAGACCAATGGGTGGAAACGACATTCAGCGCTGAAAACGCGTGATGGTCAGACGTCCTGGCGCGAGAGGGATGATGGTGGATGCCGCGGTTCGGAATGTAGGAGAGAGCTGTGTGGCGCCTGCAGGGATGACGACTGCCGTGCCTAGGAATGTAGTAGATCAGCGTGCAGTTGGATTTGGCATTTGCCTGGTAAGGGCCACCTCGCTTGTGTCCCGCGCCCCGNGGCATGGGCGTCCAACTCGCTCGGAAGGAGTGTTTCACTCAAGCGTTCAGAGCTGTTTTTCCCGGGAATGGCACGCCAGACCAATGGGTGGAAACGACATTCAGCGCTGAAAACGCGTGATGGTCAGACGTCCTGGCGCGAGAGGGATGATGGTGGATGCCGCGGTTCGGAATGTAGGAGAGAGCTGTGTGGCGCCTGCAGGGATGACGACTGCCGTGCCTAGGAATGTAGTAGATCAGCGTGCAGTTGGATTTGGCATTTGCCTGGTAAGGGCCACCTCGCTTGTGTCCCGCGCCCCGCGGGAGGGGGGGACGGGAGGGGGAGAGAGGTGTCTACTTTTGTTCGTGATGCATGAGGTATTAGGAGGGCAAAAATTCCAGAGAGAGAATCAACGTACCTGGTGCAGCAGTACGTGTTCTGACCTTGACGTAAGCAATTCCTCTAGGCGTGGCATATCAACATGGGGTGGTGCGTGGGAAAGGAACGTGATTGGAGTGTACAGGGAAGGGCCGAGGGAAAGCCGTTGTCAACGAGAGAGAGCAGCATACGTTTTGCGTAATGGCCCCTTTGGTGACCGTTGAGAGAAGAGAAGGGCACCGAAACCTAGTTGTCCAAAAAACACCGCTCGTTGTTCAGGCAGTAGTCCAAAAACACTGTTCTACACCTCCTTTTTTGTGAGCAACAAGCACCTGCAGACCCTGTGCGTGCTGTGCGTAGCTGTTTGTTGGTTTGAGTGCAGCTGCGCGCAGATTGGTGCGAACGCACTCGTTACCGATCGGGATGCCCTTTTCGAGGCAGTAATAATCAGATTGCGGACTCGAAGCCCGTGAGACCAAATACTCCAAAGCCTCCACACAACAGTGCTCTGTCGCGGGTGGGGGGTGGAGGAGGAAGCCGCACTTGGATCACAGCTGATGTGCGAGAGAGAAACCGGGGGCACTTTTTGAAAACGCGAAAAATCCCTCTTCCTCGTGCCCACGCGGAAAAACAACACCGGTAGTCGAGAGGCGTATCTTAACGGAAGCCATTTTTGTGCTTAGATCACGGCTGATGTGCAAGAGGGAAAGCGAGCTGTTGTTCGAACAACACGAAAATAAAANGGAGGAGGAAGCCGCACTTGGATCACAGCTGATGTGCGAGAGAGAAACCGGGGGCACTTTTTGAAAACGCGAAAAATCCCTCTTCCTCGTGCCCACGCGGAAAAACAACACCGGTAGTCGAGAGGCGTATCTTAACGGAAGCCATTTTTGTGCTTAGATCACGGCTGATGTGCAAGAGGGAAAGCGAGCTGTTGTTCGAACAACACGAAAATAAAAAATCCTCTCCCGTCGTGCCCACGCGAAAAAAGAACACCGGAAGTCGAGACGCGTGTTTCAAAGGAAGCCAAAGGCGCTTGGATCACGGCCGATGTCCAAAATCGAAATCGCATAGTTCGTGGAGCGCATGTGTTTTCTTCAGACAACCACTATCATTTCCGGTGCCCACGAGAAAAGTAAAAACAACCTTGGGAGGGCCTCAAGAACGCTTCGTAGCCTTCACCACTTGACCTGTTTCTTGCACCTCTTGGACTGCAGGGACGCCCCAACATGTTTTTTTCAGCGAACACAACCCCCCGCCCTCTCGTGCCCACGAAAGAAACATGCAAATACATGTGGTAGTCGGGACGCAAAATTCGCAGGGAGCCTACAGTATGCTCCTTCCCTTCATAACTTGAAATCTTTCTTTTCCCTCCCAGAGTTGGAGGCTGCCGCGAACGCCGAGGCGTGCTTGGGCGGATCGCTGAAGCAGCGACGGCACATCACAACGCCACCTAACGTTCGACACCGAGTGCACATGCAGACTGTGGTAACTCTCTGTCCCCTTGGTTTCCCCTTACTCTTTCGCTTAGGGTTGGTTTCTTTGCGACTGTCACACATCCTCCCCACGCAATAGAACCATTGGCCTTTCTCAGAATCTTGAGGTGGCCATCCCCCAACTTTGTCCTGATTGCCGCCACTACAGGGGTGTTTTGATGCGCCCGGCGCCCCCTTTCTGCGTCGCCCAAGTTGCACAAGGACATGAGGTAGCAGCTAAGCTCCCTCATCCATTTTGATCTAGACTGCTTTTCTAACGTGCTCAACCGCTCTTCCTCCTCTCGCAGCCCCTTGAAAAACAGCCCATCTGCAGTTTCTTCGCCCTCCATCACCCCCTTTTGTTCCAACTGCTTCATCGCCTCCGCCACCCCACTCTGCATGTGTCTCAACCACCACCGAAACATCAACCACGCGTTCGTACAGGCCTGCATCAACTTCTGTTCAAATAGACGTCGCCAAAAATAATTTTTAGCACGGTGTTTTGACAGGTACGCTCCGTTGTGCTGGTCCGAGATATCTACTCCCCCCATGTACTTGTTGTAGTGGAATCTACACCAAGGCTGGAAGCCGTCTGCCTTCGACTTTTGTCCCGCCACGTGCTTGCTGTCGATGTGGACGGAAACGGCGAGGGCGCACGGGGCCGGATTTAGAAGGTTATGTGTCAGCATGGTCAGGATATGAGCCACGGTATCTAGACACATAATCACGAGCGTATAATCTACCTCTGGACACATATGGTGGCAAGCATCTCAAAACCAGACACATGTCGTGCCCATCGTGCCCACCTGTACTCCTCTGGTAGAAAGTGCTTCGGGCGGAGGTGGACTGTGGACAGGAATTTTACGACCTTGGAATCCTTCCACTGCACCAACACCAAGGATCCGAACCTCGCGAACACCATTTCGCCCTTCTTCCGGACATACTGTCTCGTGGCAGTCCAGTACTGCATGGCCTCCTTCGCTCCACGG